TTGCCTCTCGCCTTCTGGATCCCTCAACTTTTGGAAGCTGCTTGACCTACATCATTGGGATTCCAAGAGAGAGGTTATCCTGGGTGACTCCTTAGCTCCAAGAAGAGGCTGGGTGGTTGATTCTCCAAGATTCATGGTAACAGGCGCTATGCGCCATGATCACTGGCCTGCCACCTTTCTGCCCTTCTCTGTGGACTCCTGGCCTCGGCATCCTGTTCTCTCCTGGGAATGCAAGAGCCCACTTCTCTTGTTGAGTCTCAGTTGCCATTGCCCATGCCCTGCCCTCGACTTCCAACCCCTCCTTTCTCATGGGGCTTGCCCCTGTAAACTCCCCTCTTCCTTGACTTGTCACTGTCACCTCCACGTTCTCTTGGTGCCAAGCCTTGGCCCTTAGGCCGTCTGCACCCATGTGCATACCCATTCCTATTCCTGATGGCGGCCCAAGCCAGCTGCTGGCCTGGAGGGGAGCTGACCTTCTCGAAGAGGCCCAGGGCTTTTATAGCCTCCTTTACAGTTTTGTTTCTACGGACAGGAAGTTCATGGTGCAGACGCTAAGTTTCCCTTAACCTGTCTCTTTTTATCTACCTGTCTTTGCCATTCTGGATGAAAATGCTGAATATTGGGCACTTTCTAACAAGAACAGCCCTAGTAAATTTGACGCATAAAACAAGACTGTTATTTGTTTATAGACACTCCCCTTAAAAAAGATTTAAGGTATTAGGTTGGTGCAAAAGTAATCTCAGTGTTTGCCATTGACCAGAATGGCAAAAACCACGATTACTTTTGCACCAACCTAATCTCTTACAGATTTATAAACAAAAAATGAGAGAAGAAAACAAGAGGAGAAGCTTAATAAGTTACCTTTAGCTTTTCTTTTGGCTGAAATGTCTCTTCATGTTAATATCTCCCAGGAGGGTCTATTTTCTAGACTTGAAATGTTTTATGGCTTTTCTTCTTCGGCTTGAATAACGCAGTGCCCTAACTGTGTGCCCGCAGGCCACTGAGGAAGAGTAGAGAGTACAGCTACCAGACTTTTTTTTTTTTCAAGTTCTTTCCTCTTGGATACATCTGGTCCCCATTTTCTTCTAGCTGGCTTTCAGGGAGCTGCCTCATAATCTTAGGATCAGCAACAGCTTAGGGTTCACTGCGACCTTCTGAACCTCACCTGTCTGATTCATGCCTTGCTAGTCAATCTGCATCTTGGATTTGTGCTGCACCCAGCTTTCCTTCATTGGCTGGCTTCCAACTTATTCCTGGTCAGTGTCCCGCATTGCCAAAGTCTTCCTGGATGCCAGGCCTGTATATTGAGGCACAGGCCCCATTTCCCAATGTTGGTGTTCTGCTACCAAATAGAGCTTGCTCCTTACTTACGCCTCCTAGTTACTCCTGGAGACACCGAGGGTGTTTATGTGCCTTTCAGACCTCCTGGGCCCTCAAGGGAAAAAAACTGGTTTGTTCTCCTGAAGCTTTTAGTGCTTACTTCTTCTTTTCCTACTAAATTGTTTCCGTCTGGAACAACAAGTGTGGGAGATGATTTCACCTCTTGTCATCTTTCCTAGTCTTCCTTGAAGTGGGTAAGTTCCTTCTGGCTGTTACTTGTTCCTTGCTGCTGCCACCTCCACTGCCCCCTTCCCCCCTTTTATAGATCCCTAAATCACATCAATTTGTTTTATTTTTCAAATCACTAAAGTTGCCTTTCCACCCTAGATCGTCAGCCAGCTCTTTGCAGTTAATGAGAATCCAATTATGAAAGGCAGCTGCTCAGTTCCTCCATCTCTGCCCCCCCCCCCACCAACCCCCAGAGATGTTTAGGATGACTTCTCGCTGGTGAATGTCAGCTGCTGTGGTTGTCTCCTAGGAATGGCATGGCTGAGGGCTTTGTGGTTTGTATCTGAGCAGTTAGGGGCTCTTTTGCAGGGAGAGGAAAGAGAAGGGATCTTTGCTTCTACAAAGGAAAGACTAGTGCCTTGTCTCCCGGGTGAGGCTTGTCATTGGGATGGATTCACAGGGGAGCAGGAATGGCAAATTTATAGGGCCACTGCTCCCAGGGGGTGGCCACCCCTTCAGGGGGGTTCCACAGTAGCAGAAAATTCATTAGATTTTGGGATCATTTGTTAGTGTCTCATTTATACCATCTGTATGAGAATAAACAGAAGCTGCAGGCAGAGCCTATCATTCCTGGAACAGAACGGGGTCTGGCTTCCATCTCCCAGAGATGGAAGGCTTAGGCAGGGAAATACACAGAAGCCTCTGGAGTGTTCTTCTTGGGGTCTACTGTGGGAATGAATGACTTGGAGGTGAAATCACCAACCTGATAATGAGCATCTAAGCTTCCAGAGATGGATTCCTACTGCATTTGCCGAATTTTGCTCTGCCGTGAATTTGCTGTCATTTGTTCATTCTTTATTCACTTATTTCTTACTTCAACAAGTATTATTGATGACCTTTTCTGCACCAGAAATGCTAAGCACTGGGGTCACCAGGGCAACAACCAGCCATGACTGCTGCTTACCACCTGGAATCACGACACTGCTGGCCACGTGGCCACGCGGTTTGTTCCAGGCACAGTTGTGCTTCGAGGAATAGGTCTTCCTGCTGGCGCCTTCCCTGTTCTCCCTAGAGGAGGGGCGGGGGAGACATGCAGCTCATCCACAGGGCCCTGAAGCAGCCTCCCAGCATGGCAGGCTGCAGCTCTCTCTGCATTGCAGATTCCATTCCAGAGGGTGGAGAGAGGGCTCTCTTGCTGCCACTGGGCTCCAGTCCAGCTCAGAGTTGGGGGATCTGAAGACACTGAACACCCACATATGAGAGGTCCCAGGGGCTATTTCTATGTCTGGGCTCCCATACAGGCTACCATGGAGTTATTCAGGGAACTTCTTAAACCTGGATCTCCAGGGCAGGTGGAGGGTCCTCTGTGTAAGACAATGACCCTCTACTATGGGCTGGTGTCTGAAAGCCCACCATGAGAAAGTCATTCCTTCTGCTGAAGGCATCATTACCTCCTGGACCCCAGGAAGGGAAACAATAAGAGCAGGGTGAGACAGCTTTGGCCTAAAACTCTGGGACCAGGAGTTGAGCCCTGGCTCTGATCCTCTTCAGCTGTGTGACCTTGGAGAGGCCATTTAGCCTCTCTGAGCTTTAGTTTCCTCCTGTCAAAATGAGGATGTGGTTTAGATGAGCACAGGGCCTCCTTCAGCTCTAAGACTGTAACTCAATTTGATTGAGTCTCAGATCCTTTTCTGATGGTCCAGGGGACACTGGGTGAAGGAGGGAGAGAAAGGATGTAAGCGGGAAGGGTGCTAAGAGGATTGCGTATGGGAGGTACAGTAGGCAGAGCACAGACGGAGGGGCACAGGAGCATAGATAGGCAGAGCCCTCCACATGAAAATGTTGGGGCAAGCCAGGAAGCTATGGGCAGATGGCTTTATGGCAGACGCAGCAGGTGTGTTGCGGATGAAATGGCAGGCTCACTTCCCATTCCCAGGCACCTTGCTTTAGACACCCTGCTGTAGACAAAGTGATGACCAGTGGAAGCCTTTGTGCTTGACGGTGCAAATTACTCACGTGTTTCCTCTTAGAGAAGTAGAACTTATTGGGAAATAGACTCTGGACTTGGACAGGGAACCAAATTTCACCTTCAAAAGTGAAATGGAGATGGAGAATATGGCTTGCGCTCATGGCCAGAACAGATTCACGACTGCCCCTCTCTGGAATGATCTACACCTGCGAAGCTGAATAGGGGCAGATGGTTCTGGGTCACCCTCCAAGGCCACTCCTGCAGGAGACAGCCTAAGAACCATGTGGCCATCTGAGTACATTAACTGCCCGACAGAGAAGCATTGTCTGATGGATATCAGATCTTCCCTCTTCTGCCAAATGCATCTCTCTCTATGGGAAGAGACAGGTAAAGATGGAAGGATAGGCCAAAGATTTTCCCTCAGGAGTTCTAAGCCAGTGAGGATTTTGATTTTATGGCCCTGGGCAGAAAGGTGAGAAGAGGAAGAAATGATTTCCTTTACAGGACTAGAATCCAAGAGAAGTTTTGTACTAATGTGCTACTTACTTATTATTATTATTTTTGAGACAGAGTTTTGCTCTTGTCACCCAGGCTGGAGTGCAATGGTGCAATCTTAGCTCACTGCAACCTCTGCCTCCTGGGCAGGAGAATCCAAGCGATTCTCCTGCCTCAGCCTCTCGAGTAGCTAGGATTACAGGCATGCACCACCATACCTGGCTAATTTTTGTGTTTTTTAGTAAAGAAGGGGTTTCACCATGTTGGCCAGGCTGGTCTCGAACTCCTGACCTCAAGTGATGTGCCCACCTTGGCCTCCCAAAGTACTGGGATTATAGGCCTGAGCAACTGAGCCTGGCTTTAACATGCTACTTAAAAGGCTGCTTCAAAGCTAAGACTGTGCATGTCTGACCTCCATATTCCTAGTGTCTGCTGGCTCATAGTACGTGGTCAGTAACTGGATGGATGGGTGGGGAGAAGGAGCCCTTTAAGGAACTGACTTTATTGGCAGACCAGCTTTCTTTACTGCCATCTGTGTCTTGAAGTGACCATTTCTTTACCCATGAGCTTCCCCCAATAAAGGGAGGAAGCATTCCCTTGGTGTTGACCTGCCTAATTTACATCCTTCTTCCATGTCTGAATGTCTTCCCATGTGTACCTTTTGGGTCTGGCAGAACCAGAATTTGTGTTTGCTCTGAGAATGAAGAGACCATGGAGGTGGCCGGGCGTGGTGGCTCACACCTGTAATCCCAGCATGTTGGGAGGCAGATCACTTGAGGTCAGGAGTTCGAAACCAGCCTGGCCAACATGGTGAAACCTCATATCTGCTAAAAATACCAAAATTATCTGGGCGTGGTGACAGGTGCCTATAATCCCATCTACTCGAGAGGCTGAGGTAGGAGAACTGCTTGAACCTGGGAGACGGAGTTTACAGTGAGCGGAGATTGTGCCACTGCACTCCAGCCTGGGGAAAAAAACCAAAGAGACCAGGGAGGAATTTTCTGGTACTGGGTTCCACAGGGAAAGGACATGCTAATTAATGCCCCCGGCTTTGCCTCAGTCTCTTTCTCGTAGGTATCTCACACACTCACCTTTAACTTTGATTGGTTTCATCTCCTATTCAGGGTGTCTTAACAAGTATGCAGAATAGGATGTGTGATTGGAGGGGAGGCACCATGCCAGACCAAAAATAGCTTCCTCTGAAACAGGTGCAAAGGTGCTTGAGGTTCCGCTGTTATAATTCCCTCTCTTCAGAGACTGCATGCTGCCGTTTACATCCCAGCTCCACCAATTTGAACTGTGTACAACCTCGAGTGAGTTATCGTTTTAAGCTTGGCTACTTCCTCTGTGTGATGACCTCTGATCCAGCCTAATAGGGCTGGCGGCAGGATTACCGTGGGGCTGGTACATAGCACATGCTGAATACATGTTGCCGACGACTGGGTTAAACATTGCCTGCAAAATAAAGGCAGACACTCCTGGCAGTGCCAAGGGTGACCTTGTTGTGAGTGCATTGAGCAACTTTTCCTCTATAACAGGAAGGACTTCACGGCAGGAAAAGCAGCTGGGTGGGAAAGGGATTCAGGAGAACACTGGTGAAAAAAGCGACAGTCATGGCAAGATGAGGGGCGGGAGTCCCCCTGGAGCCTCTAACCTGGCTGACTGGCCTGCTCTTTTCCTGCCCACTCCAGGTTGGCCTGCCGCTCCTCCTGCTATGATGCCTGGGCAGATCCCGGACCCTTCGGTGACTGCAGGCTCCCTGCCAGGGCTTGGCCCCCTGACTGGACTCCCCAGCTCAGCCCTGACTGCAGAGGAGCTGAAATACGCTGACATCCGCAACCTCGGGGCCATGATCGCACCCTTGCACTTCCTGGAGATGAAACTGGGCAAGAGGCCCCAGCCCGTGAAAAGTGAGGTGAGCGAGTCTCGTTACCCCTGGCAGATTCCAGGTCTGGCCCTAAACCCACCATGGGACCTTAACCTTAATGGTCAAAGTGTGGTCTGAGGACCAGTAGCGTCCATACCATCCTGGGGCTTATCAGAAAAACAGAATCTCAGGCCTCACCCCGGGCCTTCTGAATCAGAATCTGCATCTCAACAAGATCCCCCAGGGATTCATGGACATATTAACGCTTGAGAAGCACTGGGCCAAGGGAGGATGTTCAACCTGTCTCTGGTTCTCCAAGGGGCAGGGGAAGAGTGATAATAATAGTAATAAATAGCAATATCTCGGCCATCTCTCTGCGGTGGTGGGAGGATGGGGGGAAATGGGAATGTGGACATGTTTTAAAAAGTAGACAAGAGAATGTCAATATTAGGTTATCTTTTAAAATTGTTATCATTACTTAGATCATGGCCTCCACCCCTCTTGGCCCTTTCTGCAGCTGAACCAGGGAAATTGGAGGAAGAGTATAGTATGACCTCGCTTCCCAAGCAGTTGCCAGAGCTGAGCATGGCCTCAGTCAGCCAGCAGCATCTGCCTTAGATGGCATTTGCCAGGGACCCACATGTGGAGCACCCACACGTGGCATTTGCAAAGGACCCCTCCTCGGGTCCCTTGCACCTGCAGCTCTCATGAGCCCTTTTCTCGGGGCACTGGTGAGCAGCGGAAGTCCCGGCATGGCCAAGGATCCGTGCTGGGCATGTTCCTGGTCACTTGCCCAGGTCTGGCCGTTTGTCCGAAGGCCTGCTCCAGCAAGGTTCCAGCAGGGCCGCTTCTTCAGAGGCCTGCTGGAGTAGCTGCCCCCTGGAAAGGAGAAGGAGCCAGTGGTGGGAGGTGGGGAAGAGGCTGGGACTGGGAGGGTATGGAAAACAGCTGAGCATCTGGGAATGGCGGCTGTGCCTGGAGGGAGGGTTCACAGGCGAAGGTGAGCCTGGGCAGACTGGGAGGGCTGAAGTGCTGGCCGTGCTGGAGAGAGAGCCTTCTGCCTGGAGGAGGGTGTCTGGGTATCCGCAGGGGAGCGCTGGGATAGTAGCAGCCATTTCTCCGCTCCCCTTCTCCTGACAGGTGCCAAAAAACTGCAGAGGACTATTGGGGACTTGGCCATGGTGGCAGACTGGCCGTTTGCGGGCTGGACCTGGCTCTCAGGTGTATTTTGTTTGGCCAGCTCCGTGTTTTTTAAAAAATGCAAACCCACATTTCACTTAAAAAATTTTGATCAAAAAATGGGAAGATCCCTTCACCCACTGCCCTGTTCCAGCGTGGTAATGGCTAAGTGGGGTGGACAGAGGCACGTCACTGCTTCCTCACTCCAGTGGGGCACAGGCCTCTGCACCTCCCTGTTACTCTTGATCCTGCTTATATTGTTGGTTTTGCTTCTGCTACTACCATCTGCCTTCATTTTCGTCTACTGCCTGGTCCCTGTAGCCATTTGTGCTCAAGACGAGTGAATGAGGTCCGTCATAGGTGCCTACTGAAGACTGGATTAGAAGACGCGAGTTGACTGTGATTCTATTCTTGTGAATTGATCTTGTAAACCAAAGGGTTGTCGGAGCCCTTCCCGGCTTATTTAGTATTCTGTCTTCATGATGGAGGGTCCTTGCCTTTTGGCCCTCTGCTCCTCACCTTCCCAGGTCTGTGACTTGAAAGCATCTGTTTCTGGGTCATTCCACAGTGAAATTGCCATTTAGCGCCAGTAGCTGAGCAGTTTCATGGGGGCACTAAGGCTGTGTGTGGGTTGATGAGGAGCCAGGTGTCTTGGGCAGAGGTGGCCGAGCTGGGACTCACCTGGGGGGCTGAGTTACTGCCTCTCTCCTCTGCAAAAGGCACTGGAGGAACTCTTTCCCTTTTTTTGGAAAAGCCACTTTTATTTGGGTTGGGTATTTTTACATTTTACAGCCACCCCCAAATTAGTGGCATCTGCCCTGTACCCAACAGTGATGCGCTGTCCTCACACGTACCCACAGACGTGCACCATCCAGGCCACGAAAATAACAAGCCATTTTTAGGGCATATTTGCATGTCCTCTTCCTCGCTGTCAGACTGCAGTGCTATGGGGGCGAAGAGGCAGATGGAGCTGCGAGATTGTACCGATGGAGAGGGATACCAGCCCTGCACTGCGAACCGACCTCCAAATGCTTCCTAGGTCAGACCCCAGGGGCGGGGAGAGCTAATTCTTGGAGTAACTAAAACCTAAAGAGGGTGGGGAACTTGCAGCTGAAGAATCTATGGTCCAAAGATTTATTTGCATATGGCAAACCGCCTTGAGTGGCTTTTCTTACCGGCATTTTGGACTAGCAAAAGTTTCTTGAATAATAATCAGATACTAGCTCATTAAATATTTAATATGTACCAGGCCCTGCGCAAAGTGTTTAACATGCATGACTTCATTCATTCCTTATTCAGTCCTGGAGTCAAGGTTATCCCCATATTGGAGAAGAATTTGAGGTTTAGGGAAGGGATTCCATCACTCAGGCCCACACTGCTGTGCTGTGATAGCGCTGGAGCCTGGTGTGGTGGACGATGCGGCCATTACAGCCAGGTCTCATTTGTGCAGAGCTAAGTCCTAGGCACAGTACTAGCCTCTCTTTGTGAAGTACCTTGTTTACCCTGCACAAGTACCCTCTGAAGTAATTAGTGTTGTTGCGGTCATACCCACATTACAGATGAGATCAACAAGGCTGAGGGAGGTTTGAGGTCACTAGCTGGGAAATGAGCTCAGGCAGTCTGCCTTGAGCCCAGAGCTTTAACCACGTGCTGTGCGGCCTCCCATACCTCTACACCCCTTCCCAGCTTCTAACCAGAGCTCGGTTGCGCTGGGGAGGCTGGATGAACCTGGCCCCAGAATATTTAATCATCTCGATGACATTGCCCAATGAGTGCTGAACCCTGCAGTTCTGCAGCCTCATTGTCTCCTAGCCGAGAGAGAGAGACAGAGAGAGAGAGAGACAGAGAGAGAGAGAGAGTGTGAGCGAGCGTGCACACCAGCTGAGCCGCTGTGTAGGCAGCTCTGTCAGAACTGGCTCTCGGACTGTTCGCCTTGCAGGGGTTAGCAGTCACCTGGGCCGTGTCCAAATGCACGGAGCAATTCAGTAAAAGAAAATGGGAGGAATTAAGTTCAACGGCAGGTTTTGTGAATTCTAAAGTGCTTTGTGCTGATGTCATTATTATTATATGGTCGACTCATGACGTTCAATTGTTTTGGTGCCAACTGCTTGCCTGCAGTCTGTGTGTTCAAGCCATGTTCCTTAAGCACCTGCTATGTGCTGAGCACTGCACCAGGCACTGGGAGCCCAGCTGCAGACCAAGCCTTACATCTCTCGGCACTGGATATTGCAGTGAGGGCATCACGATATATAAGGTCAGGTAGTGGCCAGGACCATGAAGAAAAATTAAGCAGACTAAGGGCGTGGCGGTGGCAAGACTGCTCACTTTGATGGTTGGCCAGGGACTCTGGGAATGTTATTTCCTGGGTTATGGGATTTTTAGAGCTGTTGCTTCTTTCTCGCCTCTTTCTCCTTTCTTTTCTTGTATTCCCTTTCAGAACAGCTTTGCTCTCTGGCTTTCCCCGGAGATTTCTTTCCTTGACTTTTCCTCTGTAGCCCCTCTCAGCTGGATTCCTCCACCAACCAGTCCCGATTGGCCTGCAGATCTTGGCCCTTCCCAGGTCATCTCCCAGTTAGCTGTGGTTATGGTGGCCACACCCTGTCTCTGGGTCTGGAATGCATTTTCAGTTGGGAGGGGAGCGAGGCCCGAAGCCCCACCCTTGCGTACACGCATACACACCAAACACTTACTGATCAACCTGCTACCGGACCCCTCACCTTCTGGCTACCTCTCAGTGCTCCAGAAGGGACTCAGGAGTTCAAGGAAGGCTAAACTGGACGACCTTTCAGGAAAGAGGCTGCAAACTGTCATTCCGGGGGCGGGAGTCGGCCTACAGATGAATCTTGTTCACAGGGTGGTTTTCTTTTCCTTTCTTTTTTAACAAAATCACAGTGTGGTTTTCTTTTTCTTTTTTAAAAAATTGAATGAATTGCTATATTTAAAAGCCAGGAAGTGTGGACTCTCTGACTTCTTTAAAAAAACCAGAATATCTAGCCACTTCAGGCCACACCCTTATATGCAGCAAGAGGTTGGAGCTGGGGAGCAGATGCCTGCTGTAGTGTGTACAGTCTTGGGTTCACTGCAGTCCCCTCGCTGATGTCCTGTCTGCAGCCCACTTCACACTGCCTGTATTGCTGGCCTGATTTCGAGTCTGTGTCCCATGTTTAGGTGCCACAGACCTTTGCTTGTTGGCTTGAACATTATTAGCTGTGTCAACTCAGCAAGTTGCTCAAACTTTTTTTTTTTTTCTTCACTATCCAGTTGTGCCTCTGAGTTATAACTCAGAATGCATCCTTATACACTGGGCTTAAAAGACTCATCATTTTTGTTTTACTATTGCACTTCTTGAACCCAGCTATCACAACACATCACAAGCCTTTGACACAAGGCTAGGATGTAGATAGCTCGGTTAGTATCAAGTGCTGGTCGCTTAAGCTTTCTATCCCTTGATTGCTGTATCTCCCAATTCTCATCTCCAGCTAATCGTTTCATTAGGTTTTTCTATGTCTGAATTTGACTTCAGGCAGAAAAAAAAGAAAATACAACAAAAATCAAACCAACCATTCCCAAACTTGGCTGGTCATCAAAACACCTTGGGAAACTTTTTAACATAGATTTCCAGACCCCACCCTGGGCTGATGGAATCAGAATCTCGGAGGATAGAGTCTTGGGAATCAGTACAGCTAATAGGCCTAGAGATGACTCAGCTACTTTTGGGAACGTGACTAAACGGTTTCTTCCGATCCTTGTCAGGGAGCTTTCTGAGGGTGTCACCCTAAGAAATTGGTGTGTATCACTGTGGACTGCTCTTTCTAACTTAGGGCAGTTCCCTGTGTATATTCCACCTGAGGGCTGGATCTGTGTCCTCATCCGTTTCAGAGCTGGAGAGGAGACTTGACTGTCTGTGGATTTCACATTGGCGATTTCCCATCTTCTCCAGGGCCCCTGGAGAACATTGAGAGGGTTTTCCCCTTTGGATGAAGTGTGAATAGGAATCCATGGACCATAGAGCAGCCTTGGAAGCCATGTTCACTCAGCCCCAGGTGGTCTTCCCAGACTTTGTTCATAACAGAGACCAAGACGTGCATCCATGTTTAGCCTGAGCAGAAAAAGTTGCCCCAAACCAGCTGATGTGCTGGGTAAATGTTGGCCTAAGCACGCCTGTGTTTTTAGTGATTTGAAACGTAAAGGCAGCCCACTGACATTTTTTAGCAAGCTTTGCATAATTGGTTTTTAATTGTGGCTCTCTGGAATAGCATTGGCCTTCTTCCCCCTGACTCAGATGCTTTTTTTGTCTCATACTTGTTTGGCAGAGAGGTCCAATCTGTCCTCTCTTGGAACAGAATCTCCCAACTCATCTTTGAAATCTGTAATTTCCACTTTAGTTCCATTACTTTGTTAGCACATTTTTGAAAGCTGTTAGCTTAAAAAAAATTAAATTTGAGGGAGAATGAGTGATAGTTAAAGGCAGCTAGGAGTGTGTTTAACATTGGCCCTGTGGTGTTGAGTCTTACTTGATACTATATCCAGAGCGTTCACAAGGGTTCTGAAGCTTTTCTTTAAAATCAGAGGTTGGTCACACCCACTGTTATCCTAACACAAGGTCCCTTGGAGAGGTGGTGGTGAGGACGTGGCTGGATCTCTATGTCCTTAGCAGCAATCACACACCTCTGAAAAGCTCAGGAAGTCTTATGGCTTCTTAGGTTTTCTATTAATGTCTTAAAGTGAGGATAATAATACCTCCCTATTAGTGTTGTTATGATTTTTTTTTTTTTTTTTTTGAGACAGATTTTCACTCTGTTGCCCAGGCTGGAGTGTAGTGGCATGATATTGATTCACTGCAGCCTTGATCTCCTGAGCTCAAGAAATCCTGCTGCCTCAGCCTCCCCAAGTAGCTGGGGCGACAGGCACGTGTCGCCATGCCTGGTGACAAAAAAATTTTTTGTATTTTTTGTAGAGATAGGGGTTTTGCCATGTTGCCCAGGCTGTTTGTGGACGCCTGGGCTCAAGCAATCCTCCCACCTCAGCCTCTCAAAGTACGGAGATTACAGGTGTGAGCCTTGCTGTTGCTATGATAAGTAAATGAACTAATGCCGCGAAAGGTTTCACATGATGCCTGGCACTTAACAAGACACAGATCTAAGGTAGGCTTGTGGCTCGCTTTTCAAATGTGTTGATCATGCAAGGTAGTTTTTATAATTGAATCAAAAACCTGTTTCTTGGGCTTTTATTGACTCGAGGGTGTTTTGCCCTCAGAAATGGTGGGTGGTCTGAGTGGTTTGGAGGTGCCTAGGTGTTGTGGGAGCAGGGTACCATCCAGGCCTCCTAACCAGAGAAGCTGCTTCTGGGGCGTGGGAAGAGCTCCGGGCTTGGGTGCAAGTTCTGGGTTCCAAGTCTGGCTCTCTTGCTCATTCCCAGCGTGACCTTGGGAAAGTCAGCTCGTTTCCTCATCTGTAACAGGAGGAAACCCAAACTAACCTTTCCAATGTGGTGCAGTTTCCTACACATATTCCACGCAGCGACTGGATCCGGGTCTTCGTCATAGAGTTTCACCCTGAAGATGAAGTGAGGTGCTGTGTGAAAGATGACCTTGACTGCAGTTCAGTGTGTCCATAAATTGCCCTTGTTAGAGGCTGAGTCCATGTGTAGTGAAGCACCTGTTCTGACAGCACTGACCTTTCTAAAGTGTAAGCCTGGGCTTCAGGGAAGCAAGCACGCTTTCCTGTTTCTGGTTGTTTATACAGTTTAGATGCAGCTGGAGTTTTAGTTTTCATCACAAACCATAAATGAGAAGGCTCTTCAAGCCTCTGTTTTCCCCTAAGCTGCCTTCTGTGACCCCTTATCTTGTTTCCCGTGGTGTTAAAGTCATTGTTGGATTCCCATCAACCATCGATTTTTTAGCAGCCCTAAGAAGGGCTGTCAACTCTACTGTCAATGCTACCATTTTACTTTGATGTTCCCAGATCTGCTGGCAACATAGACTCAGAGTTGGGACACTGAGCCCTCTCGTGGGTGCGGCTTATCTGGCTGAATAATTGGGAAGCCATTTAAATGTCTCTTTCTTCTACTGTGCCTAAAAGGTTCTACTGGCCTGAGGTTGGAGCATGGAGATCTAGAGGAACTGATGGGTGGATTCAGGAGGGACGTGAAAGTGCTGGGAGGGAGGGGCCTGCCCCTCCTCTGGGTTTAGCCACCCCTCAAGATTGTGTACAACCTTCCATATGCTGGGGCTCACTGACTGTGCTCTGTTCTGTGGCCGCAGGGTCCCTCTTTGCTGACCGTAGTGCACGCGTATGCTCTGACAAACTCCTCCGTGGTTTGCCCCGTTAGCCCTCCCTACCCGCTGCCAGCTCCCCAGGCCCCGTGAATAAAAACTCTTGCCTTTTTGGAGGCAATGTAGCAAAGCAGGACTGCTACACTGGAATAGTTTGGCTTTGGAGAGTTCACTAGATGTTTGAAATTCAATTTCGTCCCTTGTAAAAATAGGGGGAATAGACCCCTACCTAGTATCATAGACATAAATTATCTCAAAATGGATCAAATACTTTAAGAGTGAAAACTGGAAAACTCTTAGAAGAAAACTGCCATAAATCTTTGTGACCTTGGATTAGGCAGTCGTTTCTTAGATATTGCACCAAAAGTAAAAGCAACGAAATAAAAAATAAATTGTACATCATCAGAATTTTAAACTTTGGTACTTCAAAGGACACAAAGTAAAAAGACAATCCACAGAAGGAGAGAAAATTTTTGCAAATCATAGATCTAATAAGGGACTTGTATCTGGAGTATATAAAGAATGATTACAGGCCGGGCGCGGTGGCTCAAGCCTGTAATCTCAGCACTTTGGGAGGCTGAGGCGGGTGGATCACGAGGTCGAGAGATCGAGACCATCCTGGTCAACATGGTGAAACCCCGTCTCTACTAAAAATACAAAAAATTAGCTGGGCATGGTGGCGCGTGCCTGTAATCCCAGCTACTCAGGAGGCTGAGGCAGGAGAATTGCCTGAACCCAGGAGGCGGAGGTTGTGGTGAGCCGAGATCGCGCCATTGCACTCCAGCCTGGGTAACAAGAGCGAAACTCCGTCTCAAAAAAAAAAAAAAAAAAAAAAAAAAGAATAATTACAGCTCAATAATAAGACAAATAACCCAGTAGGAAATTGGGCAAAGGGTTTCAATATGCATTTCTCCAAAGAAAGAATATAAATGATGAATAAGCACATGAAAAAATGCTCAACATCATAGCCATCAAGGAAATACAAGTCAAAACCACAACGAGATAGTACTTTGTACCCACTAGGACGACTTTAATGAAAAAAGAGAGATAATAACAAGTATGGGTGAGAATGTGGAGAAGCTTCCATCATGAATTGATCGTGGGAATGTAAAATGATGTAGCCACTTTGGAAAACAGTCTGGCAGTTTCTCAAAGGGCTAAACAGAGTTCCCATGTGATCCATCAATTTCACTCACACATATATACCCGACAGAAAGGAAAACATGTCTACACAAAAACATACGTGAGTGTTTATAGCAGCATTATTCACAATAGCTCCAAAGTGGAAGCAGCTCCAATGCCCCTCAATTGGTGTATGAATAAATGAAATGTGGTCTATCTGTACAATGGATTATTATTTAGCCATAAAAAGGAATGAAGAACTGATACATACTGTAATATGGATGAACCTTGAAAACATTATGCTGGGTAAAAGAAGCCAACCGCAACAGACCACATATTGTGTGGTTCCATTTAGATTAATTGTCCAGAATAGGCAAATCCTTAGAGATGGGAAGCAGAGCCAGTACCGTGGTTGCCTAGGGGTGGGGAGATGGGAGGAGTGGGGAGTGATGGCCAAGGGATATGGAGTTTCTTTTGGCGGTGATGAAAATGTTCTAAAATTGATTGTAGCGATAGTTGCACAACTCTGGATATGATACAAGCTAGTAAATTGTATACTTTAATGGACAAATTGTATGTTATATGTGAATTTTATCTCAATACAGCTCTTTTAAAAATGGAGAATAATAATATCTGCCTTACAGGTTTGTGGGGAGGCTGGAAAGGGATAATGTATGCAAATCTCCCAGTGTGTAGCAACGTTCCAGAATTAGTAGTTAGGGTTATTAAAACCCCCTTTTAGGCCAGCAGCAGTGAAGAAACCTTTTTTCCTTTTCATTGCTAGTAACTATCCAGAAGCAGGGAGAGCAATCTGACAGGATTTCATCTAGAACTAGGGAGGATATATGATATAGAACAGCAGTTTCCAACTCTGGCTACTGATTAGAATTCCCCCAAAAAGTCTTTCAAAAATATTGATCCTAATTCAGTTGGTCCGAGTGGGGCTGGTAGGTGTTTAAACTGTAGACATTAGCTGAAAATCCTGGTCATCCAGGTAAGAAACGAGCCCAGGTCTTTGAAGGAGCTAGG